CCTTTCGATCCACCTGAAGTACCACATCATGCCTCAGAGATTGAAACAAACTCAGGCCCAATCCCAAACCACTCCCTCGACCCTACCCCTCCGTGACGGAGTGAACTCCGTCTGTAGCCACACTCGCAGCTCAACGAGGCTCCCTCCTGTCAGATGGAGGGAGTAAATACAGCGGCAAGCCTTGGGACAAACTCCCCTCTCTCCGGCAGAAACAGGAAATGCCGTAACTGTATGTAACAACGGTTTCAAATCAGCATCTCTTAGACAAAAAATGTAAATTAATAACTCAAATAAAACTCCAAACATCTTTAATTGTGTTACTTTTTTGTAAAGCTCTTTTAGTTTTAAACCTGATGTTTATAAGCTTCTTAGTTTTTGCAACAGTCTGTAAATATACACAACTTTATAATAAAATGCACACATTTACCTTTTTCTAGACTAACCACAGGTACGATCCTAAGTTAAAAAAATATGAGGTTATCATGAGGTTGTTAACATCGCAGTTTATCAGTGGATGTTTGCTGGAACTACTTTTTAACAGCGTGTTTCCTGACGGACACACACAGCGTGACTCTGGTCAGGTAGAGACCAGTCTCAAGTCAGCACCGATGCAGACTCGCTGTTTGAGGGCTTGATAGCCCACTCCCCCTCCACCCCGCTCCACACTCGTTGGTTTGGAACAGCACTTAACGTGGCGGACCCTCCGCGCGAACGCGCAAACGGAGGGGTAGTGTGTAGGGGTAGGGTGTAGGGGGCGGTTTGGGATTGGGCCTAAATCTTCCCCAATTCGCTACTTCCCAGGCCCCTGTTGTTGCCTTTGACCCTTGTGCCCATAGTAATTGCTCCTCCCACAGGTCCCGTAGGAGAGGACCCTGTGGCCGCACAAGAGCAGAGAAATGCATCACCCCTACGAAGGTCTCGGAGACAAAACAGGGGTAGGCCTCCAGACAGGTATGGACAGTAAGATTGTCGGGACGACAACTGTTAAAGGGGGGAGGAGTGTCACAAAGTGAATAAAGTCATTATGTTAGACAGTGGGACGGATGGTTTAGTTTAGTTTAGTTTATTTATTTTTTTCGAGCGTGTAAAACCAAAGAAAATACAAATGAAACAAAAGGTGATACAGACATGGTTAAACCCTTTATATAATTGTTGCATGTTACATATATAGTGTTGTGATTTTAATGTTGTGCGCTATATAGCGATGAACTTTAACCTTACGCTATTTTAAGTATTCATCAAAGGAGTGTTTTAAAGTAACTTTGTATAAATAAACCATTTTACACATATTGTGCTGTCCTTCTCGCTGTATTGGTGTGGCCGGGAATCCGAATCTTTTAATATAAATTTGATGTTAACAGGCCTCACTAGGCTGCTACACCTCTTCCTGGTCTGTTGTAGGCTCATAGTCTGGATCGCTGTTGTCTTCCATTTCTGAGACATCTTCCTCTATCTCCTCTTCATCTGGTTCAATCTCCTCTTCATCTGGTTCAAGAAATGTGTCCAGAGCCCCTCGTACAGAAAATCGGCTAATCGGTTGCCTGCTCATTGTGTCAATGAGTCAAATGTGAGCAAGGCACAAATATAACTGCTTATATAAATATATGTATAACTATATATACAAATATATGACAGTAAGGGAGGCGCATTTAGCGCGAGGTTTCTGATTATCCAGTCTCTGATAGTGTTAGGTTATTATGAGAGTGCTCTCATACTTGTTTGATTCTGAAATTGTATATATATATTTATATATATATATAAATGTGTGTGTGTGTTTGTATATGTCCGCATCTGTAGCCTGTTATTGCCTCATTATACCGCACTGTGAATGAATTAAAAGTAAATATATAAGTCATCATGAACACAGTTCTGTCCATCAGACAGAACTGTCCTTGGTTCCCCTCCTCGACTCCTCCGCTCGCATCTCCTGTGGGCGGGACTAAGACACGAGGATAGGAGTCGAGGAGGGGAAATTAGAGAAATGGGAAACCTTCCATGTGTTTCTAATAAAAAGATAAAATAAATAACATAGGTTGCTGATGATCAGTGACTAACAGTGTGTGCATAAAAACATTATTGTTTATGTAAAAGGTTTTGCAAAGTATCATTGTTATTAATATTGTTTTAATTTTGATAAACGACGCAACAGTTTGATGAAAAAAAAGAACAGCCATATAAATCAGTTACAACCCCCAGAAACAAATGTTAAACCAAAACTAAAGCACTATATAAACATATTGCATCTATTGATAATTGTCTGCATGAGCACACTTGAACATATTGGCAAAAACGACACATTGACATGAACGCTGTTGGTCATATATGATGTTAACATAATTAACTATTGGCACATGGTACTGTCATTAAGACATACTGACGTATTGATTTAATGATAGATTTAAGGTGTAATGGACTGGAGAAATAAGGGAAGAGTGCCTTGTGACTAAACAAGTGAGTGTAGTGACTGTTGGAGAAATGTAAAGTAATTGACAAAAGTTTATTTTCAAAGGACACATTCAAAAAGCCTGTTTATGGAATAAATTCCTCTTCTCCTTTAGTGTTATGAGTGGGAATACTAGTCAACAGTGTTTAATTAGTCACTCATAGTGACCTCCAGGCAGATCAAATGGTTGAATATTTACAGCCTGAGACAAAGGGTGTCAAGGGTCAGTGGCCTTGCACTATTGCCTATTTTGGAGAAGCAGAATATGGTATGGCCGTGACACACATATGATTTTCATTATTATTATCAATGACCTCGTTCCAACATATCTTATATTTAATCACTGATAAAAGATCCAGGAGGCTGAGGTTCTTGAAGATTATCTTAAAACAAGTTGGAACAAAAGGCAACAATTCACATTTGAGTATATTTATATTTTTGTGTTTATGCCCTTTACACATAACTATCAGCAACACATAATGTATGAATATCATTCATTCAGTTTTATTTGGATTCCCTTTTTTGTTTTAATGTCTATTTTTTAACTAAATTAAGTCTTTACTGCTTATTATGAACCATTGTTACACTTTTGCAAATAAAAAGCCTGTAGTTCTCTGACTATATATATATATCATTTGTTTATTCTTATCTTTTAATGATTTAAATCTTAATAAATCTTACTGGTTGGTTTCTGATACTAATTTGTACATGTTTTATTCTTACCCGATAGTTTTCACTCACATGTGTGTCTGTATTATTTGTGTGACTTGTGTTTAATTTATTGTAATAATTAGCAATTGTTCTAGTACAGGATATAACTCTTCTGCACCAGACTCTCAGGCTACTACAACAAACATACAATACAGCGAAATAACACCGCTGAATACATTTTTAAACGGGCCCTATTTAGCTTTTTCCCTCTCCTGTAGTGTGTTATAGGTTTTTGTGCATAAATGGTTTTCAAAGGTTAAACTCCCAAAGTTCTCTCCAGAGGGAGTTGCTCTCTTCTGTGGTAGCTTACACGTTGTGCAGCACATTGAGCTTCCACCTGGAATAAAATATGATGAATACATATCGTTGTTAAAGCTTGCTGGCTTGAAAACAAAGTGTTCTATTTCATCTGTGGGATCAGCTGTCACATTAGAAGAGCACAGAGTTCTGGAAAAGGTTATATGTTTATGCAGTGATATTCTATATAGCTTACAGTACACTGTATGACCTATAGGGTATTTTTGTAGACTCATCTTTATAAGACCAAGCTTGTCGTTGAATTATAGAGCTTAAGGGTGAAAACGGGCACAAGCTCTTACTATGCCTTCACTCCAGCAAACCATCTTTAACGTATAGGTAAAATGTATTAAACAAAGCTGGATTGGACTTGTCCCGCTGAATATGTCATGTACATGTTTTGTTTTAGTAAAGGGAAAGAGATTCAAAATCTGAGGTTTATACATTGACCGGAAAACCAATATTTGATTAGTCTTAGGTAATTACTGGGAAAAAAGCAAAATAAAGGAGTGTTATGAAAATAGGACAAAGCAAATACATGTTCGTGATACAGTAAAATGTTATGATTGAGTTATGTGTAGCTACATTTGGTGAATATGGGAATGAACAAAAGTGTTTACAAGTCATTAAATCTTGCCACTGCTCTTTAAATGTAAATGTAATAATTCAGGCTTACAAGCAAGCTAAACTAGCTGTTTATTTTCATCACAGTGCTGCACGCTCTTATTTAGAAAATATAAAGCTAAATTGCTAGTGTGGTTCTCTTAATGCAAGACACATCTTTGCTGAACTATTGTTCATCTAGTTCTGCTATTAACCACTTCTTACATGTGAGCGTTCAAATGACACATTCCTATTTGAATGTCAAATTCAATGCCATATGTTGTTGGTCTTTTTGCAATCGTAAACATTATAATGTAGATAACCTTATTATTTACGAATAACTTCAATCCCAGTAATGATAGAGAATGTCAAGCTATAACATGACATAGATACTAGGCTTTAAGCCCATATTTAGTTGCCTTTTTCTTCATGCTAATATAGTTTTTTACAAAGCCAAAGAAATCACGGAGGATTTTCAAAATATATACCAAACAATTTTGCTTTCGAATTACTTGTGACAAGGTGTATAACTTTAATATCCTCAATCAAGCATGATGAAATTTTACGTAAAAAACAGAGAAGTCGTTCTTTCAAGTAAAAGACTATATACAACAGCATATTTCAAAATCCATCAATTGAATTAAATGTCATTTTAACTGGGGTTAGTGGAATATATAGCACCTATGAGGTAGTGTCATAAATCTGAGGAAATAGATGTAGGCCTACACATAGTTACAGGTTCTTCGTTTATCTAGGAAAACCCAATTGTCCCATTTCCAAAGTCTAACAATATAATACTATGTTTTTTACTTGGGATATTTGCAATCAAAAGTCAAAGAGCAACATTGGTTTTGATGTGGCTCGTTTCTTGTCTGGTCTAGTTGCTTAGCAAAAGGCAGTGGGCGGGGATCATTAAGACGGTGGGCGTGGCTTAGATCAAGACCCCAGCGAGACAGGCAGCAGAAGGGAGGGAGCACGAAGGGGAGGCACTCAAACGCCGGTAGGGATTGTAAACGCAGCTGCACCTCCGAGGCATTGGCTGCAGACTTAAAACATTTATCCCCCCGATCGCCGGGTGGTTTTCTCTGTGATTCGGTACACGGCAGGAGGAAATGTCTAACGGCAGCTGGAAGCCCTTTGTGTTCGGCGGGCTGGCTTCTGTGACGGCGGAATGCGGTGAGTGGCGAGCGGAGAGGAGGCCGAATGGCGCGGCTTACTTTTAATTATTTAACCCTCTGGTGTAATTTACAGAAGTATGACATGTTTTGTGTTGCAGGGACCTTCCCAATCGACCTAGCGAAGACACGTCTACAAGTTCAAGGCCAAGTAGGCAGCAAATACCGAGAGATCCGATACAGAGGCATGCTCCATGCGATAGTGAGGATAGGAAGAGAGGAGGGGCCCCGGGCTCTGTATTCAGGGTCAGTATGCTGGATGCATGCTTTGTTGTGTGTGTCTATACTATCCCAGTTGTACTCACTACATACAACTGGAGATACTCTTTGTTTACAGTCGTACTCTGTGCAGCATACCTTCTAAATGTTCACACTTCCTCATTTTTGTGCACTTCCTCTTCTTTTGTAACAGCTTTAATCCCACCTACATTAACTCAACCCAAAGAAGGGGGGTTATACCTGTGTCACAGCTTTATATGTATTCCTTATATGCTGACACTCTTGTGTTTTTTTTTCTTCCTATATGCTGTTTAATGTCTTTTTCTGGGTTTTGTACCACAGTATTATGCCTGTAAAGCCCTCTGAGTTATTATGAGCCAGGATATTAAAAACCTTGATTTGACTTTTACAGACTAGCTCCTGCTATGCTGCGCCAGGCCTCCTATGGGACTATAAAAATTGGCACATATCAGAGCTTAAAGCGGCTGCTGGTTGACAGACCGGAAGGTAAGTCCCACTTTCTCCTTTTTACACAGAAATAAACACTTCTGCAAAAATGTTGACAGGTGGGTTACCTGCCCCCGGACATATGCATGTGGCCTATTTAAGTTTGTCTCTTTTTTCATAATTAGGCTTCCGTTTTTGATACTTTACATTACATTGCATTTAGCTGACGCTTTTACCCAAAGCGACTTACAATAAGTGCATTCGACCAACAAGATACAAACTTGAAGAAAACAGAATCATATAAGTACATCAGGTTTCATAGAGCTAAAACATTTCAAGTGCTACTCAACTGGCTTTAGATAAGCCAGTCCTTTATTAGTATAAGTGCTTTGTTTAAAACACTATTTGCATGGTCTGAAAAGTGTTTGTTCACACAGTCTGCCTCCCACTCTTCTCCTCTTTCAGATGAGACATTGCTGACTAATGTGGTGTGTGGGGTTGTCGCTGGAGTCGTCTCCTCCACCATCGCCAACCCCACTGATGTGCTAAAGGTAGCTATTTGCACACATCAACTGCAAGATTCTGTGTTATCTCCTTGTTTTTGTCAGTAATTCTCCAAAAGCAGTAGAGCAGGTATGGTAATTTCCTAAAGGTGCCGCAAGGCTTGTGGTAAATCTTCAACTAAAAACCGAGCTTCTTGGTGTGGTTGTTATACAAACGGCTTTGATACCCTGTGCAGCCTTGAGCAGGACTGATACAGTTATTATGGGTGTGAAACTTTTAGAATTTCACAATTCAATCAAAATAGTTTACAAACAATCACTGATACAGTCCATTGGGGTGCTTCTTTCAGGTTCTACTTTAGTTTGCATTGTGCTAATAAGGACTGTGTGACAGATTATTGGATAATGGAGTTTTATATTTGAAAAAGTTATACATACTGATAACACACAAAGGCAAATTAAAGACAAAAGTTAACTTGCACAACAACATAACAATTCTCTTAATATTTTTTATATTATACGGGACTACTAGAATAGCTAGTTCAAGTTATACAGAAAATAAATAATGCTACATAAATACAACTTTTTTGTGTAATTTCTTTAACAAATTTCACAAAAATAATCGACAATTTTTATTTAGTGTCTGAGATTAGACAATCAGCAAAATTGCGGATCTTTAGAATGTTTTTGTTTCTTTAAACAAAATAAATGTACACCCCATCCCTACCATCAGTAATGTTTACTAAAAATAAACTCCTTAGGTGTTGTCTGACGGTAGCATGCCGATTGGGTTAAAGGGCATCATAGCACTACCAAGAGCCAACTTGTGGATTATTTATAGACCTGAAGCCTCCGGGGTTTAACATAGTGTTCTGTAAACGATACGAGTGTGCACATGCTTATCTGTACTCATAGTGTTTTGACCGGCCCTCACCATGCCCCGTTAGGCATAATGTCCAGTGCAGATTGCTTGTTTTTTAGAGGGTTAACGGTCTAATGGAAGTGCCTTCAGGTCTGGAACATTGCATTTCCATCATGGTGTTTTTTTGGCTGCGACCACCAAGTCATTACGCAGCAAGACACACAGACAAACCGAAGCTGGTCTGCAAACACACGTCACAAAAACAACTTGAGCAGGGAGAATTCCTGGAAATAAGCAGAAAGAAAATACTTTAGGACATTGGGCTTGGCAGAAATCCCTGCTTAACCTTTTGCCTTTTCATTTCCCAGATTCAAACACCCCTGTATTTGGCTTGGTTGGCCTTCAGCATTCCACTCTGGTTGTGTACTTTCATTGTCTCTAGAAAGTTTATTGACCCAACCTGTCTTATCTTCCAGATCCGCATGCAGGCGCAGGGCAGCCTGATCCAGGGCAGCATGATGGGCAACTTCCTCAACATCTACCAGCAGGAGGGAACGAGAGGACTGTGGAAGGTACAGAGAGTCTGAATTGCTCAATTTGCAATTCTAAACGGGCTCGGTTTCCACGGGTTACAGGTAGCACTACTCTTTAGCACTCGAATCACTCCCTCTCTCTCTCTCCGCTTCAGGGCGTCTCTCTAACGGCTCAACGAGCGGCCATCGTGGTTGGAGTGGAGCTCCCGGTCTATGACATCACCAAGAAGCATCTGATCCTGTCGGGGCACATGGGGGACAACGTGTACACACACTTTGTGTAAGTTTGCCTCTGGAGATTCTCCTGCTTCTAATGGTTATCACTCGGAGGCCAAGACACTTTTCAATATCTTGAAGTGGAATACACAGCCCTGTTTTCAAGTCTTTGTACTTGCAACTAAGCAGCAAAACATTCCGTTTGTTTTTGCAAGTCTCTCAATGCTCAATTCTGGGTTTCCTCAGGTCTTTTAAAAAGTCTTAAATTGAATTGTCTTGAGATATAAAAAGAGAAAGGTTTTACTGTAGGGTTAACTGCAAATGTTTAATGTCAGAATCTTATTTTTGTGCTTGGCATAGGAAAGTAACTTCAATGAAAATAGAGGTTTTCCACCTGGTCAGAATCTACCTGAACATATCCATAAGGGCTTTTTTTCCTCCTATTGACCGTAATGCTGTCCCACAATGTAGTTAAATTAAGTTTTATTAATGCTTCACTTTGCCGCAATGTTGAATGATTGTTTTTGAATACCTGTGCCAGTTGATTCCTGTTTCTATGAAGACATTACAAATGGGAACATTAGAACACTTTGAAGTCACCCATGAAGCAGCACATGTGTTGTACCTTTACTACCGGCCATCTCTTAATGTAGTTTGCTAATGGGCGATGCTTCAATTCTACTTGTTTATTATTAATCAGTGATTAAATTAACTTAAATTTCTCATCTTTGCAGCATTTCATGTTTGTTACATTAGTGGCTGCAGCACACGCATCGCAGCAATGGCTAAATATTAAAGGACTACATTAAAAAGTCTAAAGATGCTAATTAGAACCTGTGTCTTGTGGTCCCACAGCTCCAGCTTTACGTGCGGCTTGGCGGGAGCTCTGGCCTCCAACCCAGTGGACGTAGTTCGGACACGCATAATGAACCAGAGAGGAGTGCTTCTGTACCAGGGGACACTGGAGTGTATACTGCAGGTCAGTCACCACATTCAGATTAGAGGAAATTTGAAGGGAACACTTAACAGATTTCACAAATGACATCAGTTTTTTCCTTATGGGCAATACTTTTTAGCTCATTGCATAATGTCTCCTGTGGCTCTGAAAGAGGCTTTAAAGACTGAGATAATACCTCCTGAAAAAAACGGTGTTCTAGGCATGGGGGAACTAACGAAATTGAACTACTGGTTGCGTTCTAAAAAAACTATTATCATATATCATTATATCGTCGTTATTCATTTGTTTTAAAGCTCAATAAATAACAAAGAAGACCTTTGACCGGCACTTTTATAATTTTGTCCGGAAGATTTAAACTTTAACACACGTTGACCGGCGAAAAACTCTGCCCGGATCCCTCGGCCCCCACCGCAGAGAATAAACAGAAGTGCAGCCATGACAACCATTCTTCTTCGCTGCTTTTGTGGAGGAAGTTGCTGCTTTTGTGGAGGAAGTTACAGCGCCACGTACAGGCTCGGCATATGTACTGCAGCTTTTCCAGCGGTTGGATGTAAACGGAGCCGTCTCGTGGAGCTTGACACAATCCAGTGTATATTGCGTGTGGGCGGAAGGTTTTTTGCGGTTGCGTTTGCGTTACTCCGATGCGTTTTGCCGTATGCGTTCCCGTGGAGCCGGGGTCTGAGAGCCATGCTGAAAAACGTTACAGCGGTTTTGGGCAAATGGAATATTTCGAATCGTCTGACAGTGTTGGAAAGTAACAAAGTACATATACCCAAATACTGTACTCAAGTAAAAAAACGTGACAAAAACAAGCTATTGGGCATATTGTTCTTAAATAATCCATGGTGAATTAATATTAGAAGATGAATCAACATTAACGCAGTTATGCATAACTGTGATCTTCTTTCATATGAAAAACGCCCTATTTTCATCAATCTATAAGGCGACTGTGACGTTCATATTTCATGTGATGCAAATCACTACAACATTAACTCCCCATAACTTGCTCAACTGATTTAAGCAGTTTAGATTAAAGAAACTCTTGCTGTTACAGGCATGTAATAACAGCAAGACTATCTAACTATCCACAAACACCAGCTTTGTTCAAGGACTCAAGCCTTCTTTGTAGCTCAGAGCCGTACTGAATGCAGACAGGGAATAGATATTTGGTGTTTCTTTTCTGGCTTTTAAAAAGTTAGTTTGGCCTTTTGGGGGCGCTCGCTGGTCTTTGCATTAATGGGGGAAGACTGTCTTTAAAGTCATCTACATGACTTCCATCTGTGAATGATCATGTAGAAGTTTTCCTTTTTTAAAGCATAAAACTTATTAGATTCTTTGACATCAACTAGATTCTTAGAAACACTGTCCTGTTGCTATGAAGAAGTGCCTTTGAGTGTTTGTTTGAGTTTTGCATTCTGAATGAATATTTAATAATGTAGTCATTAAGAATATCTAGATCAGCCCTTAATGTCACCGATTTCAAGGTCCCAGTTAAAAGAAAAAGCCCGGAGAGGACATTGGAGTGATCATCAGAGGATAATGAGATGAAATGGGTTTTTAACGTGTTTGTTTTTCCCTTTTTTCAGACGTGGCGCTCCGAGGGCTTCTTGGCCCTGTACAAGGGCTTCTTTCCCAACTGGCTCCGCCTGGGACCGTGGAACATCATTGTATCCTTGAACCATCTCATTAGTGCACCACTCTGTTTACATTTAGCCTCTATGATGCAATATCTGTAAAGCTGGGGAAATCAGAGCGGGGAATTTGATAATTCTGTTACTCATATGGTAAAGTATGGCATTAAAAGCCATGCGCCAGTGTAAGAATGCTAGCTAACTCTTTTGTAACTTTTTAAGCCTTGGTACCCCAATGCCCGAGGTTAGAGAGGACTCAGGGGGGGCTTAATGGTGGGGTAGGAGAAAAATGAGTGGGGAGGGAACTCTATGAAAGTCTTTCAGCGAAGGCCAAAGAGTTGCATGAGGGAAGAGAAGTCGCCATCGTGCTCCAACCAGGCCTGGAGAATGTAATGAGATTATTGACCTGTTCCAGCTGAGCAGTCTGAGGTAACAAGGAGCGGTAACAAGGCAGGCTTTGAGCAGAAGTACACAAAGAGCCTCAGTTAGCTTCCAACACATGGCAACACAAAATCACTTTTCTCCTTCACTCTCTATCCAGTTCTTCCTCTCTTATGAACAGCTGAAGAAGATCGACGTGTGACCGGCGAAACGAAGCGGTCAAGAAGAGACGAGGATGTGCTCACGCTCAGACACGAGCTGAGAGGACCAAAATCGGAGAAGGCTTGGATTGGGATGGATCCTTTATGGACCCGCTGAAAACGGGGGTGATGTAGACCCCTTATGAGAGAGGCGGTTTGAGATTTTGCCTGATTCCTGTTTGGGCTACATGTCTCCTGAAGCCTGCAGCAAGTGTGGAAGACACTCGTGTTTTAGCTCATCCACATGCTACATTAAGCTTAACCGTGCATTTACATTTGAAAACGGCCACTTAAATCTTGTTTACGAAACTGCTTTAAACTATGTCTCGAATATCACAAGGGTTTTCTACACTTTAAAAGTGGTCTTCAAATTGAGTGCCTTAGTTTGCGATCCAAGCCGTCTTAAGACGCATTAAGACCAAGAATGTCGGATAGAGATGACCATCGCAGCGAGCGATCATTCCCTTGTTTGCTTAAGGACAAATGTTTGTGTGCACGAGTCAACAATCTTGACTAGGATGTGTTGCGTTGTTTTTCTTTCTATATTTTGTATTTAACGGTCGGGTGTGTGGACAGATGGAATTATTTATTACTCCAAGAGTTTCCCTGGAGTATTTCTTACAGAGTGAAGAGCTAAGAATATACACCCCAATGTACTGTTATAAATAACAGTGGGACACACACACATCACATGCCCATGTGTGGCGAGACTAGTGGTCCCCTGATGGCAGCGAGTGCAGACAGTAAATATACCCGGGGGCGATGGGGCTTCCCTCTGAAGCCTACACCGCATTAGGTTTAGACCACTGATTAAGATTAGGGTAACCAAAGTGTGACTTTTTATTACTTGAAGGCACTGAAACGAATGATGTTTTATCTCCAGGAGTATTTTCAAATACTGTATTTGCACGCTTTATACTGTTCATCCTAAAGAATGAATATGTTGCCCGCTCTCGTGTTTGTGTGAGCTGCCATCGCTGCCAAAGTGTATGCTTGATGTTGGGTGTAAAAGCTTCCTGTATATTTTAAATAAAAGAGGGAAACAAATCAGCCTGTCTGTGTCCTGCTTTGTTTTCACCACAGTGTGGCGCTGTGGAGCTTCCCACCACAACACGACCCAGTGGAAAAACCTAAATGCTGTTTTTTATGAGTTTTTAAAAAAAAATATTCAAAGCCTCCACTTTGAGGCCAAAAATCTAGCACAGTTGTGTTGTTTCTGAGGGATTGCCCGGTTCCTTTCAAACACACATGTTCACACAGAGTCCCACAAACAATGACTTCAATTATTCAGGGCAATCTTGAGATGTAATTGTTCTTTTATATTTCTGTAGGTAAATTCCCAGTTTTCCTTCATCAGAGCTGTTTTGAGGAGATGATGGGAGCTCGGGGGAGACAAACAGCAGTGTGTGTGTGTGTGTGCCTTGTTCTTTTATTTAGGGAGCATCATCATGGGACTTATTACTTGACAACTGTTATTGTATCAGTCTTATCTAAGCTACCATGAGCTGCACTGCCATGTTATTGTTGTTTTGACAAGCATGGTTGTGCTGAATAACTCGAATCTCAACAATGCCACAGAGCGTATGCAGTACATTATAGACCTGAAGGGCACTTTCCCCAAACCGGCTGACGTCTATGTCAATTCAAGTCACAGAAACATCCCTCACTGCCCATAAGGCGGGTTGAAAGAGAGAATAATGTGTGCTGTTGGTGCCAATGTTCCATAAGTTGGCATTATAGGCCGCTGCCTGGCATCCCGTCTCTGGCACAGCCCTCTACAAGCTGGACAAGTACGGCCACAGGGGATTCCACCAGTCACAGACATGCTGCATTATGGGTATTCTTTGCTGCCTGGCCCAAGGGTGCAGGAGGCCGGCTCTATTGTGTTCCAGGGATCAGAGTGAGCCGCTGTGTCAGAGGGATAAGGCTCCAAACACTCCCCTTTTTATCTCCCTTTTTTTGTTCTTTCTCAGATGAAAACGCCGCTCGCTGAGACACGAATGAATAAATGGACGGATAAAAGCATGAGCGGATGGAAATGCAGACAAGGAGATAAATGTATCGGCGTCTGTTGATCCATTTGGAACAAGGAGCGTGCTGACAAAGAATAAAAATCGCAGGCCTATTGCTATTTATTTTTACTCAATTGGGCTGAAATATAACAGTGTTTCTGAAAGATGCTTAGAAAATGCCTGGGTGCTTTTGAGTAAAATCAATGATTTTCCCTCCTGAAAACACATTGTTTACAGGCCACAGATTCTGCATAACATCAACAAAACATCTGCTCAGGAAGCTGTCTGAAACATCTTTCTCCCGGAGAAAAAAGTGCAGCCTTCTGCAATTTGAAATTGTGCCTGGAGTGAATGTTGTGATAAATTGTACAGCAACGTCTGGTCTGAGAACAACAACCTGACAAAGTGAGGATTTCAAACCAGGGGAGGCAATAGATCCTGTGGAAAATGTCAAATGATGCTTTAGGAACTCTTTTCCATGAAAAACACAAGATGTCATGTTATAGTTAATCTCAGAGAAAGTCAAATATCAATGTAAGTCCCTGCATGGATAATGTAAAGTAATCAAGAAGAAGCACACATATTAAACAAACAAGGTTTAACATGTTACTGTAAATGAGCTTTAGATGTTCTGGTAGGTAGAATTATTTGTATTTTATTTAGTTCCTAATCGTTAAGCTAAGCTAACCAGGTAGCTTCTTTATATGTGTATATGTAGCATAGTACATAAGAGAGTACTGTCATTCTTGTTGGAGCTATATATTAATTTGTTATTAAATGGTTAATATATATTTTCTAGCTGTTTTGTTTCTAATAAATGTACTATTATGTAGTGTAATTATTTAAGTTAATTAAAGTAATTCTTTATGATTTTATTTTGAAGGCGGTTTTGGGAACTCAGTTATTTGGGCACCAGGTGATTATTATATATTTGAGACAGGTGGTGGTGCATTTGGCGCACCAGACGAACATATGTTTTTTTCTAGGGAACATATGCTACAGGAGAGCCACAGGAAAGGCATCGGTAAAACCATTGTTCTGTATATGTGTATTATTGGAATCCAAGAGAATAAACAAACAAACACAACGTTCTTGGACATTGACTATTCACCTGCGTTAGGATTTGCTTTCTGGTTCCCCAGAGGCAGTTTTAGTTTAAAGTGGACCTATCATGCTATATTTGAAAAATATATTGTAGGGCCATACCTATATAAAACATGTCTGTGAAGTTTTTTTCAAAATACCAAACAGATCATGCATTTTAGCCATGCCTCATTTCGCTCTATTCGCTCTTTTCCAGCCCTGTTTTTGCAAGGGCTGATTCTGTGACGCTAGCTTTAATGCAAATGAGCTGCAGCTGAAGAGGGGGAGGAAAAGAGAGGCTCCGTCCTCTGTGTATTATTCTTATATTATTATATAGAGTCGTTATTCATTTGTTTTAAAGCTCAATAAATAACAAAGAAGACCTCTGACCGGCACTTTTATAATTTTGTCCGGAAGACTTCAACTTTAACGGACATGTTGACCGGCGAAAAAAAATCGAACTGAAACTCTGCCACACGGTCCCCTCGTCCCTTGGAAGAGGCGGAGAGGTGGGTGTTTGTCATCTGCTGGTGGACTAACCGGAGAGAATTACAGCGCTTGCCTCGGGGAGGGATTGCATTGAATTACAGCAGCAGGAGCAAACGCTTGCCTCGGGGAGGGAGAAAAAGAGCCAGAGCGTCCACAACGGAGAATAAACAGAAGGGCAACCATGGCAACCATGCGCGGGAAGTCTTCTTCGCTGCTTTTGTGGCAGACTACAGCGCCACTTACAGGCCTGGCATATGTACTACAGCGTCTCCAGCGCTTTCGAGCGGCAATGGCCGTGGCCGTGGCCCAACCTCTCATTCCCCTGATAGGTGGAGAGTTGCCCATATAGGCGGAGCACCCCTTTTCTGACGTCAGAGACATTCAAATCTGTATCAGTCTGTATCAGATCCGTTGCAGCCCCGTTTTTAGAGATTTGGGTATGGAGGAAAAGAGAGAGGGTTGTGTTTTCTGACACTTGGTGAGTTCCCTGACACACCGGGGGCACATATTCATGTATAAAAGACATACAATAGTGCATTTTGCATGATAGGTCCCCTTTAAGTTACGTTTTCTATTGAACTTCTTTGTTTAGCCTTTACAATTGTCATCAGGTCCCTAACACAAAAACTGAAAATGAAAATTCCCCACACTGTCAAAATATTTCTGTCCCTGTTGAATCAGAATCAAAATCAGATTTGGGGTTTTTTGCTTAGTAGGTTTACCATACGATTAATTTGCTTTGGTGTTGAGAAACCACAGCAACACAATAGTTAAGATTCAGTTGAAATGTAATACTAATCTGGACAGAATTTTCCAGAAAGTCCATATTATAAAATGCATATTATGTGCATTGCCATCCACAACTTTAATGCACATATTAGGAGTTGGTTCATTGATGGTGCTGTTACAGAAGAGTAAATTGAAGTGTGTCCTTATTAGTGTATGAACTGTTGAGTTATTGCCAAAAGAAAGTGTTGTTTTAGGTCACAGTGACCTCTGACCGCCACAATATAATCAATTTATCAATAAAAGCGTCTAACAAGTAACATGTAATGTAATGTAATGTAATTTGTCCTTGAGTCTAAGTAAACGTCTGTGCCAAATTTGGAGTTATTCCCTTAACGCATTCCTTAGATATTGCGTTCTTGAGAACAGAGTGGACTGACGTGTTTCCGCAGCTTCTACGGAAGTCCTTAACAGCCATGGTTGAAACGTTGTGCCTCATAAAGACAAAATATACACATTTTGGGATTTCTCGCAATCCAATTTTCTTTTTATTTACTTGAAAATAATCAGTTACCTGAAGAAAACAGCCCTTAAATGAAATTAACTTATTACATGAAAGTGAGGAAATAAATGACCAAATAAGCCTTGTTTAGAAAAATAATATAAATATGGCATTTATATTTGTCTCATGCATATCATTCACCTTACATTTAGTTTTTAAATGATGTCTACATCAGATTTTCCACCTAAACCAAGCAGAACAAAATCTACTTTCGAACTTTAAAAAATGTCACTTTAACAGACTTTATGAGTCAGCGCTCTCCTACCTAACTGTAGCATCTTTAAATTGTTTATCATCATAAATGAGAGACTATTTTAAGAAAGGAGCCTCTAGTTCTTGTTTGCTACACCTGTAAACATGCTCAAGTGCCTGAGACGATTATTCCTCTCAACATGAACTCCTGATCCAAACAAACAGAAGCCTCGCCAAATCACAGTGCAGTCGACCTACATTCACACACCACTGGAAGGGGACCGGGACCCCGGGGAGACAGGATCACAAAGATGAGCCGCTGGTAATGCTGCTCATTGTTCCATTAAGACGGGAACAGGCCAACAGAGTGAATGTTAAAGGAGATAAAGGGAGGGGAGATTTGTTCTTCTCCTTTGACTCTGTGACTCCAAGAGTCAGCTAAACTTAAGTTGTGTCATTTGAAGAAGCTTTAAAGTTGACATTGTTTATTTTAGTGACCTTTTTGGTGCTTTTTTGGTTCTAATAAGAGATAGCGTATAGTTCAACTTAAAATACGCGTTCTCTCTTGTTCCATGAAATACGCATATTCTTTGCCTGCGGGAATCTATTGCCCAATTGAACGGGGCAAGTAGAAAGACACATCGGGGTAATGAATCTAGAAACTAACTCAAGTGGTGAAAAAAAAGTATAAAACACAGTTTTGTTTCTGAAGCTAATGAGGGAATTAGCTAAGGAATGAGCTATATTGCTTTATTTATATCTCTGTTGAGAGTAGCCAAGCATGTTACTGGAACATTAGCAAGAAAATGGTGTTGATAAAGACAACTTTTATGAGCCAAAGTGCAAGTAAGCATTCCAGTTATTTTAGTTTAGTTGGGCTATTTAGGATGTGGGCGAAACTATTGCAAAGATTTCCGTAGTATGTGAGCAAAGCATAGGTAAAATACTTAAAGAACAATGTTAAATTATAGGTCTATGTGTTTAAT